GGAGAAAACTAAATGGGGAGCAAGGGGCAAAACCTCTTTCCTGTATTACATACTAAAGTTAAAAAGAGAAACTTTGTTTTTCTTTTTTGGGCCACCATGCCTTTGTGGGATACGGCCAGTTTGTTGAGAAAAAGACCACCACCACCAGCAGTTATTTTTATATAGCCTGACTTGAGTGCTGGAAATGGGAAGTACAATGCCTGCACTCTAAAGGAGGGGTTTGGGATATTGGCAGGTTGGAGGAATATGTTATATATCTTTATATATGCTTCTAAACTGTTGTATCTGGGTGCCTCTGCAAAAACAGTGATTATGTATGAGTGAGGTGAAAACGTTGAATGATGATGAAAGTATTTTCATATTGGGGATTTTCTTTCTTTTTTGGGTCATCCTGCCTCAGTGGGAGACAGTCAACTTGTTGAAAAAAACAAATATAATGCACTGATAAATTTTACTTTATCTTCCTAGGGAGCGTAAACGTGAAACGGGAGTTGCAAATGCAGCTGCAGATAAACGTGGTAAACTGGCCACTCGGGAGCGTGATGTTACAGAACAGATAGCCTTAGGCTTGCCTCAAAACACATCTGGGGGCAGTGAAGCTCAATTTGATCAGCGCCTCTTCAATCAGTCACGAGGCATGGATACAGGCTTTGGTGATGATGAAGCATATAATGTTTATGATGCTCCATGGCGTGACACAGGAAATATTGGTTCCAATATCTACCGACCTACTAGAGCAGCTGAAAATGATTATGGTTCAGGAATAGAGCACCTCATGTCCACCAATCGCTTTGTCCCAGACCGTGGATTCTCTGGTGCAGATTCTGGTGCAAGCAGATCTGGTCCAGTTGAATTCCAGCCATCAGGAGCTGGAGATGAGAAGGATGAAGATGACTTGTTCGGTGTCATTGGTTTGCTCTCAGAAGCCAAAAAAGCTAGTAAAAGAAGTTCAAATACTGAGGATCGTGGACGAGATGACCGTGATAAGAGGAGGAAGAGAGATTGAGGTTAAATATCATATTTGGTGTATAGGAATTCCATCATGGTTGTGGCAGTTTTGATGATGGTTCAGCTTTTACATGAACTATTGCAAGTGCTATATATTTTTTTAATAAAATGACAAATTATATTAGTTCTTAATGTTTTTAGAAGACTTAGGTTACCATCCAGCAAAACTGTGCCCTGATTGACAGTAAAAAATATACATTGCATTATGAGCTCATGTAACCCATGTGGTTTTGTGCTTTTTTTTTTTTATAGTAATAATGAGCTCATATAAAATATTGACCAGTAAATTATTTTGGAGTGTCAGCATAACATGGTGTAAAGTACTTGTATAATATTGTGTTGGAAAGTTACTTTTATGGAGGGGAAAAAATGTATATAAAAACATTTAAGAATTACTTTAGTGAATCACCAATAAATAATGGCATAATAAATGACATTTAGTCTTTTAGTACAGATAATCAGTTTTCTGTACTAATTAACAGTGGTCTTGCTTAAAAAAGTATTCAGATGTACACTTATCAGGCAAGTACTTATATATTTTGTTTGTTTATTGGAGTGGCCTATTAAGTTGAGCTTTAAAATTTAAAGATTATCATATTTGAAAAGCTAAAGATGTTTGGCAGTTGTCATATGCTATATAAAAACCTAGCCTACTAGGAGGAGTTTTTGATACCTTTTAATTTACTGTATAGACATTTATGAACTTAGAGAAAATCTTGGATGTGCATATCAGTACTTAGACCGAGAGATGCATCTGCATGCTTGTGGAAGAGAACCATATATTCTTCATACCTCTGAGAATAAATGGATTGTATGGCTGGCAAATGCAAATTTTTATATTGACACCTTGTGAATGAAATACTGTTTTACTGACTGGCTAGTAAAGTTTATATGAACTTTTTTTTTATCAGAATTAATACAAAATAATTGTATTCATACTGAGAAGTTTTTGTAAATGTTAAACTGATGTACAAATGTTAGCCTATACAAATTTTGCTTTTATTGTCCTTTACTGACTGAATCTTAGAACAAATTCTCTTAGCCTGTGACAGTGACCACAGTGTACCACAATGAAAAATAAACAGGTACAATACTGTGATTGGAATAATACACAACCCACACACATGAAGAATAAATAGGCACAATCCTGTGACGAACTATACATAACCTGCACATGCAAGACAAACTTAAGATGACCTTTCAGGTAATTTGTATATCACAGTGCATAACACTAGCAAGTAGATTTTAACTTTTTTATCCAGTTTTGAAACCAGATTAGTTATTTTAAGCTAACTTTGATGTGTTGATCACAAACCCAAGCTTTAATTTTTATCATGAGTTTTTCTTTTCTAACCTTCTGATCAATATTTTGGCTATTTAAGGGTGAACCACATGATATATTTTACCTGAGAATCATAGATATATGTATTGATACTGTGGCAAGATTTTCTTTTTCAGGTGGTCCTTCAAGGCATGTGAAATTGCAGACCTGGAAATATACAGAGAATTTTCAGTGCACATATGACATATGTGGAGAAAATTCTCCAGTAAAGGGGGTATCTCTCAGCCCCCCTTCAGCCCTCTGAGAAACTTAGCCCTCCAGGAAGGAGCTAGTGGACTCTTCCTTCCTCACAGTTTTATGTACCACAGCGAGAAAACTAAGGGAAAACTTGCACCTCACTTTATCTACAAGTTGAGACTATTAAATTCTAGTCTATAGCTAAACTATTGGCAGAAAGGTGGGCTAGTGCAAAGATTAGTGGGGGGGGGTTGAAGAGGGTTGGAATAGTTTTAAAAATGCAGTATTAGAATGTGGGGGCAGAAGTTTGTGGTTTTAGGAGGGTGGGGGCAGGTGGAAAGAGGAGTGATTGGTGGAATGATGAAGTAAAGGGTGTGATAAAAGAGAAAAAGGTAGCTTATGAGAGGTTTTTACAAAGCAGAAGTGTTATAAGAAGAGCAGAGTATATGGAGAGTAAAAGAAAGGTAAAGAGACTGGTGAGAGTGTGCAAAAGGAGAGCAGATGATAGAGTGGGAGAGGCACTGTCAAGAAATTTTAATGAAAATAAGAAAAAATTTTGGAGTGAGTTAAACAAGTTAAGAAAGCCTAGGGAAAATATGGATTTGTCAGTTAAAAACAGAGTAGGGGAGTTAGTAGATGGGGAGATGGAGGTATTAGGTAGATGGCGAGAATATTTTGAGGAACTTTTAAATGTTAAGGAAGAAAGAGAGGCAGTAATTTCATGCACTGGTCAGGGAGGTATACCATCTTTTAGGAGTGAAGAAGAGCAGAATGTGTGGGGGAGGTAAGTGAGGCATTACGTAGAATGAAAGGGGGTAAAGCAGCTGGAACTGATGGGATCATGACAGAAATGTTAAAAGCAGGGGGGGATATAGTGTTGGAGTGGTTGGTACTTTTGTTTAATAAATGTATGAAAGAGGGGAAGGTACCTAGGGATTGGCGGAGAGCATGTATAGTCCCTTTATATAAAAGGAAAGGGGACAAAAGAGACTGTAAAAATTATAGAGGAATAAGTTTACTGAGTATACCAGGAAAAGTGTACAGTAGGGTTATAATTGAAAGAATTAGAGGTAAGACAGAATGTAGGATTGCGGATGAGCAAGGAGGTTTCAGAGTGGGTAGGGGATGTGTAGATCAAGTGTTTACATTGAAGCATATATGTGAACAGTATTTAGATAAAGGTAGGGAAGTTTTTATTGCATTTATGGATTTAGAAAAGGAATATGATTTGAGTGGATAGAGGAGCAATGTGGCAGATGTTGCAAGTATATGGATAGGTGGTAAGTTACTAAATGCTGTAAAGAGTTTTTATGAGGATAGTGAGGCTCAGGTTTGGGTGTGTAGAAGAGAGGGAGACTACTTCCCGGTAAAAGTAGGTCTTAGACAGGGATGTGTAATGTCACCATGGTTGTTTAATATATTTATAGATGGGGTTGTAAAGGAAGTAAATGCTAGGGTGTTCGGGAGAGGGGTGGGATTAAATTTTGGGGAATCAAATTCAAAATGGGAATTGACACAGTTACTTTTTGCTGATGATACTGTGCTTATGGGAGATTCTAAAGAAAAATTGCAAAGGTTAGTGGATGAGTTTGGGAATGTGTGTAAAGGTAGAAAGTTGAAAGTGAACATAGAAAAGAGTAAGGTGATGAGGGTATCAAATGATTTAGATAAAGAAAAATTGGATATCAAATTGGGGAGGAGGAGTATGGAAGAAGTGAATGTTTTCAGATGCTTGGGAGTTGATGTGTCGGCGGATGGATTTATGAAGGATGAGGTTAATCATAGAATTGATGAGGGAAAAAAGGTGAGTGGTGCGTTGAGGTATATGTGGAGTCAAAAAACGTTATCTATGGAGGCAAAGAAGGGAATGTATGAAAGTATAGTAGTACCAACACTCTTACATGGGTGTGAAGCTTGGGTGGTAAATGCAGCAGTGAGGAGACAGTTGGAGGCAGTGGAGATGTCCTGTTTAAGGGCAATGTGTGGTGTAAATATTATGCAGAAAATTCGGAGTGTGGAAATTAGGAAAAGGTGTGGAGTTAAAAGTATTAGTCAGAGGGCAGAAGAGGGGTTGTTGAGGTGGTTTGGTCATTTAGAGAGAATGGATGAAAGTAGAATGACATGGAAGGCATATAAATCTACAGGGGAAGGAAGGCGGGGTAGGGGTCATCCTCGAAAGGGTTGGAGAGAGGGGGTAAAGGAGGTTTTGTGGGCAAGGGGGCTTGGACTTCCAGCAAGCGTGCGTGAGCATGTTAGATAGGAGTGAATGGTACTTGGGACCTGATGATCTGTTGGAGTGTGAGCAGGGTAATATTTAGTGAAGGGATTCAGGGAAACCGGTTATTTTCATATAGTCGGACTTGAGTCCTGGAAATGGGAAGTACAATGCCTGCACTTTAAAGGAGGGGTTTGGGATATTGGCAGTTTGGAGGGATATGTTGTGTATCTTTATATGTGTATGCTTCTAAACTGTTGTATTCTGAGCACCTCTGCAAAAACAGTGATAATGTGTGAGTGTGGTGAAAGTGTTGAATGATGAAAGTATTTTCTTCTTGGGGATTTTCTTACTTTTTTGGGTCACCCTGCCTCGGTGGGAGACGGCCGACTTGTTGAAAAAAAAAAAAAAAACTAAATAACAAGGAACCTACCCTCTTGCACTGAAAACTGTTGCAATGTGTAGCAAGGAAGAGATATAAAGCCGAGTTCAGCATATCCTTTGTGCAGACAATGAGCTGGAGGCCAACGAGGGCAGTGGGCTTTAGATTGCTTCAAGGAACGGACAAGACGTGTCTTGAGGGTATTGCCTCCTTATCGCAACATTCCCCTAGACACTCGAGCCTTCACTCAAGTTACCAATATCGGCCGTAATGGCACTGTCAATGCCATAAGCTCACCTTACACGAGCAAGGTAAGGCTTAATCTCACTTGCATTGCCAAATATGAATTGCAGTCCTTAGGCAGACAAGGTGATTAGAGCTGTCCTATTCGAGGTTGTAATTAGAGCTTTATGCCCAAACCAAGCGAGTATCACTATGCATTTGAGATGATAGTGAAATGCTGGATATACACTCCTTTTGGGCAAATTGGTTTCTAGCCCACTTGTTAATCAACAGCCACTGTGGGATCTAGAACAGCACCCTGAAGGGATGGTCAGGGAGAGGCTGCTGGACATCGTGCTGTTGACGGATAAGTACCGATTGCTATATGTTGTTTCATGCAGGAAAGTGTACTTATATAACCAGTTCTCCACAACACATAAGTACCGTAAAGCACCTGTACTTCTTGGAATGCAGGCGATGCAACATCCCTCCAATAAAATGCAGGGGCACTATAAGTATGCTAAGAGAAAACACAGTAAGTGTCAGGGGCCCAAGCCTGTTCAACTGCCTCCCAGCATACATAAGGGGGATTGCCAATAGACCCATGTCTGTCTTCAAGAAAGCGCTGGACAGGCAGGCACCTAAAGTCAGTACCTGACCAGCCGGGCTGTGGTTCCTATGTCGGTTTAAGTGTGGCCAGCAGTAACAGCCTGGCTGATCAGGCCCTGATCCACCATGAGGCCTGGTCACAAACTGGGCTGCGGGAAGGCTGACCCTCGGAATACCCTTCAGGTATACCCTGCCTCGGCGAGAGGCAGTGTATTAAAAAAAAAAATTTAGTGTATGCAATGATAAAAACTAATCTTTCTTAACATAAATTCATTATATATCAATATTGTGAAAAATATAATACAGCCTCTCTTCACTTAGCAACATACTCGTTACCGACGACTCAGACTTACAATGGGCTCTCTGACCAGTATTCATACCTAAATAATGTATATTAGAGCTGATTTCCTCTGTTCTGTTTATTACAATATACAATACACTACTGTATAAACATTTAAATATATACCAGAAATGTTATAAATGGTGCAAAGGTGACATTAAAACATCAGAGATGGTCGACATAAACCCACTACCATTATAGTATGCTCCTCCATAGTGACGAATTCATTTACCGACGTGGTCTTAGGAATGCAACTCTGTCATTAAGTGAGGAGAGGCTGTAAAGAGACAGCGCTAAACCCAGCATAAAAAAAATAACTATCCATACAGTCATGTATTTACAACACAATTTTCAGTTTTTTTAGCTATTATTATAATCATGGGGGAGCACTAAACCCATGGGGGATTTTACAGTGCCTGTGAGGGGGGGGGAAGGAAGGTTTTCCCAGGTTTAAATTTCAGGGAACTGGAGCACAGATCAAATTTTTCCCAAGACAAAGAGCCCCCATAAAGATAAAGGAAACCTTTCCCTTTGGAGTATTGCTTTTGGCACAAAATGTTCGGGCCAATAGTAAAACCATCAAATTTGATAAACGTTTTCCAAATTTTTTCTTCCCCCACGTTGGTGTTTTGGGTAAAAACTTTCATCGAAAAGCCTATTCATAAAAAATTGTACAAGGAAAAAACTGGGTTTCCAAATTTAAAAATTTTCTCATCCAAAAAATTAATTAAAAGCACATTTTTTTTGTCCAGTGAAATTTAAATATTTTTTATAATCAAAAAGAAGCGCTAAGCCACAAGGGTTTAAACAGCGCTGCGGGGAAGGGAAAGGAAGAAAGGGGTTTGGGGTTTGGCAGAAGGGGG